ACTGATATGTAGTCCAATTAATGAGGTCAGGCTAGGATGATGGTTGGATGTGAAACCCGTAGAAATATCCACAGGGCTTGGGAAGTTAATGTGTGTTATACATCTCCTGTTCAAAGTTGGGAGTCTTAATTTGTTGGATTGCCTACCAGAGTATGAAGAGTGTTTGGGAATAGAGGGTTTGGTCCATACTAAGTGAGTCCAAGGTAGGGTTGGGAGATGCTTGTTGAAATGTTTCATGGTGTGTGCAATAGAAAATTGACCATTGGGCGAGGGTATCCAAGTGTGTTTGTCATTTTAGCTGGTTTGTGGGTTGGGAAAGTTAGTTATATGCAAGGGCGGAGGGAGCATGTGCCCGGGGGGGGGGGGGGGGGGGGGGGCACATGCCCTTCCTAAAAAAAAATTTCCCCCTATTACTATATGCATTTGTTTTGAAAGTTTAAAAATGCCCCCCTCAAAAATAATATGACTAACTAAAAAGAAAAGTTAAAGTGAAAACATGCTAGAATTTGCAAGGGCTAAAGGGGGAAGATAATGTTTAGTATTGTGTTAAGACAATTGTTAGTGGTGTGTTTGAATGGTGAAGAAAAGAATACTGAAGTATAATTTGTAGTTGGTATGTGTGCTCGTCAAATTCTGAACAAAAACAGTAAGGTCTTTGTATAAAATATTCATGCTCTCTTCGCCCTTGTCCTTGCTCCAATTTTCAATTTCATTTTCTGCGATTGCTATTTATATAATTCAACATCAGAATCAAAATTGAAAGGTGAGAATCGAAAGATAGAGATAGAAATCAGAATAAATCTTCTATTTTACTGTCAGTCTACTGACTCAATTTTTTTTTTATAGGATATTAAACTGGTCCTTAAAATTTTTGTGATTTTGCTATAATTTTTTGTTTTTATTGTTTGCCTTTTGATGTAAAATAATTATATGCCATGTTAGTAGTTCTTTTTTTTTTTTTTTTTTTTTTTTCCAGTCAAATACATTATGCCCCTCTTGAGATACAATCCTGGCTCTGCCCCTGGTTATATGCTGTAGTTGTGGAATGATGGATAGTATGGAAGGGGGAAAGGACCAAGAGTTATTGGTTATGAAGGATCCTACCTTTGTTTTGCTGGGATATATAACTTGAAAGTGAGATATATCAGTTGTGGATCGAGATGTCAATTGTTGCAAAGGACCAAGATAACATTAATTGTCAAACCAAAAATTTGAGCTTGAACCATCTCCAATTTTTACCCTGACAAGTGGTTTAATTGTATCTCTGAGGCTGAGCAATTTCTTCCAATTCCATGAGCATTGACTTGGGACTTTGAACTCCCAAATACTTCTTCCTTTTAAGAGATAGGTGTTGATCATATATATATAGTTGAGAGTATTTATACATGGAGCTGAACTTAGTTGCAGTCGAGATGGCAGATGAAAAGATATATGATGTCAATCGGTGGATTGTTTCTACTTAAAAAAAACACTCCTTTTGGGTAAAAAACAAACTCATCAGATTGACAAAAATTCAGTCCTACATTAAAATTATTGGACCTACCCTAAAGAAACATTTTCATGACTTTGTCTCACAGGTACAGGCACTGTTGGATTGGCATTTCCTAACACATCAGAGGAAGAAATTAAATGTCATGACAGTTATAAAGGGAGATAGGAATTCGTCTTTTTCGTGTTGGAAATGAAAAAATCTTGCTGTGTGTTGATGGTAGTTCGTGAGTAGGATGAGGAGATCGTTTCATGTAAGCCAAGAAGTCTGAGATCAGTATCCAAGTTAAGATCCAAGCAACACAAGGGACTCTCTAGGTATGAAGATTAAGAAAGGGAAGGCCGACTTCGGTACCGTATGAGCTCGAGCTTATCAGAAGATAGATATTAATGTGGTGGTTGTTGCCTTAAAGGCTGATTAACACCCCTATTTATAGTGTTTATCTCATCGGTTAATGTCTTTTAGTCCTTTGGTTGAGCCTGTTCTTACCCAAAGGTTTGAGGGTCTCTTCTTTTGACAGATGAGACATTGATGGACGGGCCGCGGCTCTTTGCCCCCCAGTCAAAAGAGGTAACGGCGCTCCCTAATTAATATGGGTCTTATCAAATGTCTTTCGCAATTAATGCATTCCTTATCCTTCCTTTCTCGAGCTCAGGTACCAAGTGTCCTTTCCCCCTTGTGTTGGCCTTGGGCTGAGGCGGGCCCTTGGATCTCAGCCATTTATCCACATGTCCTCATATTCCCGTGCTTCAGGGGGGATGGGTCCCTTTCGAGGTCCTACCTTCATGACCTCGTGGGTCCTGTCCCAACTTTATCCCGAGGTCTTCTTTGCCGAGAAGGGAAATGCGTAAAACAGGTTAGTCGAGGTCGCTCTTTCAGAGAGCACCCTCGAGCGAGCCAGGGGTGGGGGAAGAAGCCCATCTAACTGGAGCGGGGCGCGTCCATAGTAGAGGAAGGGTAGCGACCCCTTCCTCGGCCAGCAAGTTCAGTTATCGGATAAGTAGCTAGAGAATACCTAATCCACCGTGGACACGCCAGGTAAACACTGGCCAGTTGTGCCTATGTTGCAGAGGTGACGCCACTTAATCAGCTATCGTGGCGCGGTCATCAACATTTTGCCCCCCTGCTCGAGGTCACTAAGAGGGGAGCTCGAGCAAATTATTAACTTGGTCCGATTTTACCATCATTATTGTTTCTACTGAAGAGTCACATCATTTCAGCACCGAGGAGTCATATTGCTTCGAGAAGTCACGTCGCTCGACTTTTTAGGCCACGTGTAGCCTCTTTATTGGTGCGTCGAGTTGTGATGCTTTGAATGCCGAGCCTCCGTCTTTTCGCTTGTCAGAAGCGCGACGCTTGGGAAGAAAAAGAGGCGAACGTGATGTCAGAAGAAAAAGAGGTTAGGGTTTCATAACCGTTGTGGCGAAGGCACAAGAAATCGAAGAACAGAGGTCGCCGAGAGGGGAGGGGGATTTGTAAGATTCATTTGTTACCTGATTTACAAAGGTCGCCAAGAAGGGAGTGGGATTTGTAAGGATTCATTTGTTACCCAATTTATTAAATGGGTTTTTTCTTTTTATTATTATTTATGGGAAAATTATTGAATATAAAAAGAAAATTAGAAAAAAAAAGAGATGCTTCTGAATCTATTATATACAAGTTTGATAGTTGTTTAAAGTGTCTGTTTAATTCACACTTAATTCTTGTATTCTAAACTTGAGCTATTGTATTTATGGACGACATTTTTATTATTTTAAAAATACTTGATAATGTATTTTTATTTATTATTAATAAATATTAGTAGTTAATATATCAAAAAGAAGACTTTGTTCTCTACCTAATTTTCTATAATTTTTTTCTTAATAAAAGAGATTATTGTGTAAACATATATCCTTGATGATTTTTTTTTTTATTTTTTTTCGCTTCTTTAAGTTCAAAAAGCGATTTTTAGATAACCAAACAATTTTTTAAGTTTTTGTTCTCTGAAAATTGTCCTGAAGTTTTTCCAACTAAGCGAATTTCCAGACTCAGAAAACTGAAAACTATTTTCTATTTTCGTTCTCTGAAACTATTCTTGGAAATAGTTCTCAAAGTTTCATTCCAAGCAAGCCTATTAAAGTTTTTAGTTTTTGGAGAATAAAAATTTATTTCCATAATTACAAACTAAGCAAACCTTTTATGGCCAACAATTTTACAAGCCTCTCTCAATTGGACTCGAATCCGTAAAACTTTTCAAGTCCAGTATTAAAAAGAAGACAGTTCTCATCCCTCCAGGGAATTAATATATAACAAAATTACATTATAGCTACTGTGATCATTGTTGAGCTTTTCAAAGCTCTAATTGACAGTTTAAATTAATTGAAATAACAGTTATGATAACTTATTAATTAGTATGGTCAAAAGTTTTTCGAACCAATCCTTCGTATATACTGTATCCTTCATCAGATGTTTGTCATGTGCATTGCATATGACTAATATTTTGACTTTTATGACCATTATGCCCTCTAGCAATTGTAATGCTCTAATATTGGGAAGGGTAACATGAAAAACAAGAAGAAGAAGAAGAATAATTTTTTTAATTATTTGCAAATACCCCTTTGACATTTGCATGTTACTCTATTGTCTTAATCTATGATGTTAAATTATTGATTTTTATTTATGAAATGTCTTTTTTTATTTATTTCCTATAAAATACGTATAATGTCGACAAATAAATGAGAAGTTATAAATTGTAAAATAATATGTTATTCATCACAAATAATATGTAATGTTTTTTATTTATTTCTTTTAAATTTGTCAACAAATATGAACTTTTTTTTTTAATTTTATTTTAATTATTAGTTTTAAACATTTTCGTTATCAAATTTATTCCATAAATGTTCCACGACTTTTTACAATAAAAAAACAGATGATTGATTTATAACTTTATTTACCCATTGGGAAAAAGATAACTAAACAATTGAAAAAATAAAAATTTTAAAAAATTATTAAAATATTTAAAAATAATAAAATAAATAAAGTGAATATTAGACTATTCAAATAAAATGAATAACCGTAACATTAACATGATTATCTAAATAAAGTGAATAACTGTTCTTATATACCATGCTATGACGACTAACACGGAGTATTAACTTTATGCTTGGTAGAAAAGATAGAAGAGGGCTAAAAGGAAAATAGGAAGGAAGTAATAAATTTTATTTGTTAGGTAGAAATGATATATGAAACCAAAGGAGACCTCTTTCACAAATTTTCATCTATCCAATATGGGTTGAAGATGGGAGAAAAAAAGACTGAGCCTATTATAAAAATTTTAAATTATTACAATACCTTTCATAAAATATTTAATAGATCACATGTGATGAATTTAATGATAAAAACAACCTAAAAAAATATTAAAAATTATTTATTTTTATCATACAACAAATTAAATTATCAATTTTTTACATTCTTTTCCATCTGACACAACAAAAAGAGAAAAATGCTTACTCTCTTCTTAGAATGTCTTAGTCATTCCTTCTTCCCTCCGTTCTGTTCAATTTTTTTTTTCCTTCAAAACTTGAAGGTGGAGTTACTTGAACTTTGGGTGGGTGTGAGTCATTTGTCATAAAACTTGAAGCCATTGAAATTTTGACCCATCATTTGAGCGGGAAATGATTATATATATATAACTCACAGTCTCAGACACTTCATCTGCTTTGAGTGAACAACGATGTCCAAGTTCGAATACCCAAGGCTCCGAAGGGGCGAAATCATCGGATTTCTCGCCGATGCGCAGATTGCAACCATTTCTGAAGCCGATCTCATCCATCCCAACCCAGATTTCATTACTAACCTCTACACAAGACTCTTACTACATATTGATTCTCTCCCGTACTTCCCTAAAAAGCCCCAATTCAATTTATGTTACCCATTTCTAGGGTTTTCCCAACAAATTCTCACTAGGGTTTTGTCTAATTTCAGGGAAGATCACGGGCAAGTCGATTTTGCCGCCTTGGAACAGCTGGAGAACCCGGACATGCATGTCGACTCGGTCAGGACCTTCAATTTGTTGAGCAAAATCAAGGAGATTATGGAGGCTCTTGAGTGCCCTAGGACATTCACCCTCAATGATCTGATAAAGCCCGTCGGAGACAGAACAGAGTTGTTCCTTAGTGCCTTACTCAATTTCTGTATCGACAGGTTCGTTTAAGCTCTGTTTGGTTGGGAAAATGATACACTAAGCACTGTTTATTGTTTAAAATTATTGTTAATTTGATGGGTGTTGATAAGTTTTCGTGTTTATGCTCTTGTTGTTCTGGTTGCTTTGAGTGTGTTGGTACTTGGTATGGGATTGACGTTGTGTGATTTAGAGCATTCTTTGCTTTTCCAAGTAGCGGAAGCTATACATTGAATGAGTGTAAGGAGAGTGAAGAAAAGTGTGTCAATGGAATTATTAGCGTGCTTGGATATTCCTTATTTCTGGGTATATTTATTATTGTGTATTTATGTAATATGCATTCAGGCGTTTATATATCTATGGATCAAGTATGACATGGTGAGATAAGATCTTTCCAATTTACTTACACACCTTAAAAAATATATTCTGGGATCATTGTTGGATTAGGTGTTGTGTGATATAGAACATGGCATGACCTATCATTGTTGTCTATAGCGAACTGGAAATCCCATAATATATTTATCAAGGGGTGTCTTTACATGGCATGCTCGCCAAATGTAAAGTTGATAGAACTTGGGTTGTCCTATCTTTATGGCTTTTCAAATTAGAGTTTTATTGTAGGGCTTATCATTTCCAGGAACTGCATTCTTGAAAATGAAAAAATGAAAATTATGTGGAAATTTTTTTTCGGTTATCGACTATCGTTGTCTGATATATGGAATTCTCTTTGATTCCTGAAACAGCGTTCAGCAACTGAAGAAATATAAGAATAGTTAAAGTTAGAGTGATGATGCTATTTTGATATTCTTTAGTGTCCCATGTAACTTGAATGTATTCATTGTGGCATACGTGCAACCTTAAGGGCTAAGGGAACTAATTGACCATCTATAGTGAATTTTATTGCTGAAAATGGAAAAATTAACATGCCATCGTGCAAGATAGTTTAGAGTATCAAATTCTTATTGAATGGAAAATATTTTTGCTATTTTCTTATCAGAATAAAATCGATGTTGTATTGTGACCTCATTTACAATGATTGGATTGTGGAAAATTTTATATTTAAGACTTATAAATTAATTCATTTTCCATGAAATGTTTAATTTAGACAAACATCTGGTTTGACTCGAAATTTGTTATTACATGTTTAGATGGAAATGAAACAAATTGAACTTTACTTTTATTGTAAGATGAACATCTAGACATTGGGTTTACTTTGTTGTTAATTGTTTGTGTCAATATCGTAGGGATTCAAAAATGAATATTTTGAGACCAATTGTGGACGAGCTGAACCTTCTTGATGACCAACGGCTAGAGTTGGAGGCCAGAATTTCACAGGTATCTCTAAGAATATGATTTGCTTAATTTCATATTAGCTTTTACTTGTCAGGTATTTATCTGAAGTTATCTGTTCATCTACATTACAGTTGAATGCAGAGATTGCAGTGTTTGATGAATCAAGAGAAATGGAAATGCCGCTTGTTCAAGAAGTAGATGCTAAAGTTAAAGAGCTGCGTCAGACCATTCCAGGTCTTAACAATCACCAAATGTCTTTGAAGGCTTCAATAAGAAAAATGAAGGAAAGGGCTAAAGAAATGGATGAGAAGGTTTGGCTTTTGCCTTAACTCAGTAATCATGGGAAAACAAATATGCCTAAATTTGTTAAGTTAATTGATGTAGTTGTCTAGTCTAATGTTTGAGGTAAAGTATTTGCAATTGGTGAGGGTTTTGAGAGTAATAGTTAATAAATGGATCAGAATCTTCGGTTTTGCCTTTGATGCAGTAAGAATGGAAAGCAAATATGCTTAAATTTTGATAAGTTTAATTGATGTAACTGTCCACTATCTGATGTTTGAGGAAAATGATTTGTGGTAGAGGAGGTTATGGAGGCAATGACTACAAAGATTGATTGGAGCAAAAAGCAGTTTAATGATTGAAATTTTTAAATGTTTGGATCCATAATGCATAAGACTTTAGTTATGATTTACTGAGGCGTCCAAATATGTTATTTGACTAGAATATTACCAGAATATGATAAATCTGCCCACCGTTATCACCCAAGTGGCACTGACTATGAAAATTACACTCTTGGTCTGATATGGCTATGGTATTCTTTTGGTTTGTCTAGGTACTGGGTTAGCTATCATATTCCGTAATTCTTTGTGTGGATGGGGTGGGCATTGTGAACATATACATCCTTTTTTGTTTTACCTTTTTACATAAACCATGTATGGAACTATATATCGGATATAGACACAGCACAATGCAGATGCACTGGCATGACACATTCTTAAAAGTAGGACATTTGTCAGCAGAGGATATGTTTTTTTTTTTTTTTTACCTGTTGTATATGCATTTTAGTAGGATAAATACATAAATTTGGTTGATTTTATTCAAACTTTTGTACAAGTAAATCTATGATTAATGCACTCTTACTCTGAGCTTGAGCTCTTAGCTTTGTCTTTTTTTTAGTTAGTGTATTATTTCGTGCATTTCATGCCTGGTCTGGTGATATGGGTTAAATCATGGTATTGATTATTTGTTCTCATTTACATACATGCACACACATGTTTTGTTAATTCTTTTCACAAAAAGGGGAAAGTACAAAAATCACCCTCATGGTCCACATTTAACCCTTATGGTTTATATTGTGTATATAAATCCATATTGTATTTTAAAATGTTGCAAACAAGGGCTTACCGACAGTGTGCCATTAGGAGTTGGCCATTAAACAGTCATGTGCGTTGTACATGACATATTTAACACCTAAAAATCTAGAAAAGCCATTTCTCTCTTCCGAAAATGATATTATATGTATATTTATATCTACTCTCTCTACGGTCTCTCTCTGTGCTCCCACAGTTCTTTCTCTCTCTCTACACCGTCTCTCCCTAGTTCCTAGTCCCTACTCCCACATCTCTTTATTCTGTATCTCTCTACTCCTACAGCTCTCCCATGTATTACACTCACCCATATATTTAAATAAAAATTCAAGATTGCCCCTTCAACGTTTACAAGACATAATTAAGGGTCATCCTCAAGTGACTGTGACACTACTCTCTCTCTAACGTCTCCTAACTTCATCAACTACCACATTATACAGGTCCATCTCTGAATGCGTCGCTATAAACACAAACCTCTCCACGTATACAAAGACATTTACGTATAACTGCAATCTAGAAACAGAATTACAAAAGAACCCAAATCCAAATTGGGAAAGCAAAAAAAGGAAAACTGATTCAGGAGCAGTTCAAAATCAATCCAAACACCTGCTTTTAGGGGTTGTTTTCATCATAAAAAAATTCCATTTATCTCTCAGGGGATTGGTTCATTGGTCTGGTTTATCCTCTTTTAATGGCTGATCAGAAGTACATTAAGGCCGAAGAGCTCAAGCCTGGTGATCTGTGGTTTAAAATTCCCTTGAAGTGAGGTTTTGGGATGGTGGTAATAGTGATGGAGTTATGGTGTTAGGGTTTTGTTGGGATGTGCAGAGGTGGAGGAAGACGAGTGAAAGAGAGGGCAAGCCAAAACAACACTGTTTTGTTTGTCCATTTTAGTCTTTTTACATTTTTTTTCCTGTTACGTATGACATCAGCCCCTATTTCTCACCTAAAATGAAACAGGGGTGTATAGAAAACAGTAAGGGGTTATATGCACTATATGTATACCATAGGGGTGTTTACTGCACTTCACCCAAATAAAAAATTAGTAATCATTGGAATTTTCTATTGCTGTTGATGTTTTTTTTTTTTTTTCATAATTGAGACTGTATTAAAAGATTGAAAAATAAAGTACTGGTGCACAGAGGGCATACCCTCAGAATATGAAAAGAGATAGGAAACAGCAATCAAACATTAGAGAAAGCCCATTTCCCATACAAAACAAAAAGTGTAGAAAATGTGCTAAAAAAGAAGATCATGGATAGAAGCATTCTGGACATCTAACACTTCCGGCAGCAGCCGCCTAGCCACCATCTCAGGAGCTTTAGGAGATGAGCCATGAAGCCTAGCATTCCTTTCCTGCAATATCCCCCAAAGAACAGCTGCAAACAGACTCTTTAAAGATGTAGAGGCATTATAATGATCGCTGAACCAACAAAATAGATCCCATGTAGTAGCCACCCCAGCAAACTGATCCATATCACTTGAGAACTCCACCAAACCAAGACCACAAAGCCTGAGCAAAATGACATGACATAAACAAATGGTCTCGATTATCAACTTCTTTGTGACAGAGAACATCTAGCAGCCAAAATTTACTTTTCTCCTCTAGTCTTCTGTAAGTTAACCATGGAAGGAAGTCTGTTAAGCATCACAAAAACAGTAGTAACAGACCATCTAGGCCTAGCCTTACCCCAACACATGTTACACCTTTCCACCTCCTCAGAAGCAAGTTTACGACAGTGCCAAAAGAGACCCGACCACCATCCCACAGAAGGTTGTCCTCACTGGCATGAATAGACACATTAGTAACATATTCTTTGAACTGGTGTAAAACATTTTCCTGTAAAAGCAGCCAATTCCAATTCCAATCCCCATTAACCATCAAACAATCCAAAGTAGCATTTCTGGGAAAATGTAACCTCCTGATCAGCCCATGACCAAATTTTTGAGCAACAGTCTGACCATCACACCATGGGTCAAGGAAGACAAAAAAAGACTGGACATTCCCAATTCTGAAAGTTGCGTTCTGCAGCATAATGTCCCTGACAACAACAATAGATTTCCATATAACAGAATAGGAGTTTCTAGGAACAACATTCCAATAACTGACATTTGAGGCATATTTTTGATTAAACCAGGACACCCACAATCTATCTTTGCTTATCAAAAAATTGTAACGACTCGAACCCGTAGGTCCGAACCGTTAGCCGGGTCATTAACCGAACCCGAGGTCAACTAGGGACAACACCATTCTTTCCTACGTTAATACATATTATACGTGTCATTCCGGGTTTATAAAAAAAATTAGTAATAATAAATAAATAAATAATAATAATAAAATAAGATTATAGTTACAAAGTATGTCAAAACGGTCTACTAACCCATCGAACCCTGTGGAGGAGCGTCGTCCGCCACTTGCCATCCGTGTTCTGAAAAATGTTAATTGTAATGGGGTGAGCAAATTACTCAGTAGGTAGTGCCTAAGACCCACCTCTTGTAGCCCCGTGAATCCAAACAATGAATAGGATTATAGGGATCGGGGTCATACAAAGTCAGGACAAAAAATACAATATACACTTTCAAGTCCAAAACAAAAGAATGTCGCGCCATGAATGCAATGTCATGCATGTCACTTCCCATTTCAGAAAACATCCATCACTTCACAAACTGTTAATATAACCCGTCCTTTGGTGACTTCGTAGCGACACGAGAGAAGGATTGGTTACTGTCCTCGACCCTTGGGATACCCCCGCGGCTTCATTTTGGGCCTAGATAGCTCAACCACGCTAGGGCAATTTCCCTAGTTCCCTCTAGGCTATATTAACATAGCGGCCCTTTGGTGACTCTGCGGCGACCGGGTTTTCTCAAAACCATTTTCTCAAATTTCTCCCCAAAATTCCCTTTTTAATTTCATTTTAAAACACTTCCCCTTTTCTTTCATGCCCAATGCTTGTATACATATCACATGTCTTTTTAATACTATGGAAATGGAGAGAATTATTATCACACAATTAACATGCTTCCGTATAAAATTTCTAACAAATTATTAAGCATCATAGGCATAGAAAATTAACACATTATGCATTCTTTCCAAGTAAATCAACAAATACATATAATTACATGGTTCTTATACTCAATTAAATCATCTAAGGAACAATCAATTCAATTTAATCATGCTTGACAACAATTAAAATAGAAAAACTCACAAAGGAATAAGAATTTGAGTATTAGAGACCCCTACCTCACTAGTTGAAGAAAACCCCAATTCAGCCCAAGAAATTCGAAATCCCAAGTGCTCCAAATTAAAAATTGCTCCGATCAATATAAAACCCATGACGAGCTCTTCAACTTTGCCTTAAGTGGCAAAGTCTAAATCTCAACGGTTTGGGAGAAATCAAGCTTTGAATGGCAAAAGAAAAAAATATAGACGGAGAGCGAGAGAGAAATTGAGATCTGCAGATGACTTAAGGGTCATCTAAATGATAAAAAGAAGGTGGGTCCCACAGCTTTATTTATAAATATCTTTAACTTATATATATATAAAGGTACATACACACAATATAATGGCAAAAAAAAGTCCACTGACAGAACAAATCTCACCACACAAATATCTCTCTTTACATTCATCAAGTGCAAAAACCCAAAGTCAAAGAAAATATGCCCAAAAAATTTCGTGGGCCCCGCACCATCATATCTTTCCATTTCTCTTTACTTTTTCGGCAGCAGGTATACATATATTTCATGTATATATATATATATATATACATGAAACAGAAACAACCAAACCTATTATAAAATCAAGTGGGACCTGCAATAATGAACCATCACCAATTCATTCTTTCCCCCCCAATTTGGCTGCTTCCTTTTTGCTTCCATCAGATACGAACAAATATATATATATATACAAAATGCAAATCAACCATTACATATCTTTCTCATCCTTATCTTTCTTTTTCTTTTCATATACAAATAATTCATTATCAATTCAAACCCATCCAAAAATCTCTTGGGACCCGCTATCACATTACTATTACAATCTATCTTTCTCTCTACAATTTTGCCTGGTGCATCTCCCTCCTCTGATACACTATATATATATATACACACATATATATATTTGCACAATGCACCAAGTCAATAACCCATTAAAATCTCCAGTGGGCCCATGAAAACATTATCACTATTATCACATATATATCTTATTTTCCTTCCTCATTTTCGGCTCCTGCAAACTGATACACCATATATATAAATGTAACCAAACCAAATCCAACCCCATTAAATGTCTTAATTGGGTAAATCTCCAACCATAATCAAATAATTAATTATGACAACCAAAAAAATAAATTAAAACCTAAAAAATCCGAGTTGTCACAAAAATCCCAGGCAGGAACACACTAAGAAGCTACTTGAATGTCCACCAGTTTTCTTAGACCTAAACGTCCCTCAGCTTTAGTTCTGTTAATGATTTTCTTGCTCTTTGCACTATGGAGAACATGATGAATTCAGGAAAATTCTTATGTTAATATAGGACATGATATCATTTTCAAATAATTGTGTACATATATTGACGGAGTATTATCTAAGACAAATATATAGTTCTCATTAAAAAATTTAATGGTTTCCCATCGGGGTTTTTTGGCAGTTCTCGTGGCTTGAGGCAAGGGGACCCCCTATCCCTTTTCTTGTTTATTATTGTTATGGAGGCTCTTAGCAGGCTGATGAGGAGGGCTGAGGAGGGTTATGACCTTGGGTCTTATACGAGGCTTCAAGATTGGTCCAGAGGCAGTCCATCAATTGGAGATTTCTCATTTGCTGTTTGCGGATAACACTTTGGTTTTTTGTGAGGCAGAGGTGTCCCAATTGAGATATTCGAGATTTGTTCTGGTTTTTTTTCAGGCTGTATCTGGTTTGAGAATCAACGTGGGTAAGAGTGTGCTTGTCCCTGTGGGGGAGGTTCAGGAGGTGGCTTCTCTTGCAGCTGTCCTTGGTTGTAGGACGAGTTCCTTCCCAATTTCTTATTTCGGCTTACCTTTGGGCGTCTCCTCAAGGAGGGCAGGAAGTTGGGACCCGGTTATTAAGCATTTCGAGAGAAGATTGGCTGGGTGGAAGAAGTAATATCTCTTGAAGGGAGGAAAAGTTACGTTGGTAAAGAGTGTTTTGTGCAGTCTTCCAACTTATTTTCTCTCTCTTTTCCAGATTCCCTCTTCTGTTATCAGGAGACTTGAGATGATTCAACGTAATTTTCTTTGGGGCGATAGGGGGGAGGAGTTCAAATATCATCTTGTTTGGTGGGAGCAGGTTTGCAGGCCCTTTAAGTCGGGATGCCTTGGGATTCGGAGACTGGCGCCTTTCAACAGGGCTCTTCTTGGCAAGTGGCTTTGGAGGTTCGGCAGTGAAAGGCATAGATTATGGAGGAGGATCGTTGCTTGTCGGTTTGGGGAGGAGAGAGGGGATTGGTTTGCTAGACCGGCTAGATCTGCTATCGGCATGGTCGTGTGGCATTCCATTGGGCATGGTTGGGATGAGTTTTCTAAGCATATTAGATTCAGAGTTTGGGAAGGTCGGATTGCCATGGATAGTCATGCTTTGGTTGCCGATTGCTATCGCCTTGATAGCGGTAGGTTGTCTTGGGATGTTCAGTTCCGGCGAGCCTTTCAGGATTGGGAGCTGGATGATGTTGTTAGCTTGTTAGATCTTTTGTATCGACAGGAGGTGGATGGTACTGGGGCGGATCTCTTGACTTGGGTGCCTTCTTCGTAAGGGACTTTTCAGGTCTGGTCTTTCTTTTTCTGTCTTTCTGGTTTTCAGGCCTCCTCTTACCCGTGGAAAACGGTTTGGCTTTCGAAGGCTCCTCTTAGGGTGGCTTTCTTTGTTTGGACTGCTGCTTGGGGTAAGATTTTGACTCTGGACAACTTAAGGAAGAGAAGACATATCATTGTTAATCGGTGTTGTCTGTGTTGACCAATGGAGAGTCTGTGGACCACCTTCTCTTGCACTACCCAGTGGCCCATGACTATTGGAGCCTTATGTTGGGTCTTTTTGGCGTCCAGTGGGTTATGCCTTGGAACTCTCGGGGTCTTATTGATATTTGGAGGGGGCAGAGGGTGGGGGCTCGTGTTCGTGATTTTTGGAGGGCGACTCCTCTTTGCATTTGGTGGTGCCTCTGGAAAGGACGTAATAGAAGATCCTTTGTTGGGGAGGAGTTACACATTGGGGTTTTAAAGTACTCTATTATTTGCTTTCTTTTTAGTTGGGGTATGGGGAGAGATTGTTCTTCGGTTGAGGAGATCATGGACTTTTTGGGATCTTTGGGTCCATAGGTCTTCCCTTTTTTTCCTTTTGTTCTTGATTCTTGTACAGCTCTAGGGACGCGTTCCTCTTTTGAACGCTTTCTAATACATTTCTACTTATCAAAAAAAGAAAAAGAAAAAAAAGAAGAAGAGATTATATTATATGTACGATTATTCTCTTACTCTATTTGTGTCTATTTTGTCTTATATTATTATATTATATGTGCCATTATTCTTTGACTGTATTTGTGTCTATTTTGGCTTATATTCAGAACTGTTGATTGCGTGCTTGACCTATACAGTCATGTGTCCTATGTTAGAGATTTTATAACAAAAGAGAAATGTTGGTCATTTTGAGGCTGTCTATCTTGTTTTTAGTAGTCTCAGACTTTGCTTATTATAAGTTGTGTTTCTGCAAAAGAATCATGTTTTGGGAACTGGGAAGCTTACTAGACATGTCTAAGAATATCATGACATGTGTCTGACATGAGCACAACATCTTCAGAGAAGTGTCTGTCCTTGTAGCATCTTGTACCCTACTAACAAATTGTTTTAGAATTCAATAATTTTTAAAAAATAGAGTTATGCTTCAAGATAGGAGTGCATAGCTTTTCGAATTTCCTCATTGTACAGAGTCATCTTTCTCTAATATGATTATTGGTGTTCTATCATAGGTCCATAACCATGTTAAGAACTTTGCCACATAAGTAATATTTGAAGTCTTTTAGGAACAACACAGTTGTACTGTCATCATATCAGTGGTTAACATGTTGATTATGTAGACAGCCCTGTTACAATTATTCTTAAAACGTCTTTTATATTTATTCTTGGTACCTTCACCTCCTTTATGTAGAAGTTGGCTCCTTTCTTGTTTCTGTAGTCCATAATGTTATGTTGCAAGTATCTCTGATGCCCTATTTTTAAGTAAAAGTTTTTTTTTTTTTTTAGGTTTCTGACGCAGACTGGTTATTTAGATATGTTTGTCCATGCTTGATTCAACATTTACTGCTTGTGGTGTTTCCTCTCCAGATTTCTAGTGCAGAATTTGCCTTGGTACAAAGTGTCCAAGATAATGCCAATTTACGCTCCAAGATTGTTCAATCACCTGAAAAGCTACAGGTACCTATTTTTATCTCATTAAGTGACAACATTAATTCACTTATGTGCTACAATGTTGCCAATTATATTTAAATACATAGTTTAGTCATCAGTGAAGCTTTGATAACCATGTTAGATGCAGTTAGTTACAAGTAAAAGGCCTTTTTTTAAAAGTTCAGTTTGCATAGAAAAAACAATATAGAAAGCATAGTGTTACGTAACTACAATGGCAGTCCTCAATATATTAATCAGGCCACAGTAAATCTAGGAGCAAGATTAAGAGGCATCTAAGGATAATTTGTGCCCTGTTTTAGCAAATATACTGGTTAGTTCATGTAACTCGTATCTAGTTGTTATAGAAGCTAACTTTTCCCCCCATATCTAATCATGGATTCAAATCGAATCATGCTGATACTTTTACTGGTACCACTGGGAATTGAAAACGTGAACAAAACATTAATCAACCCCAAGGTTATGAATATAAGCTTGTAAACATGACTGTGATCTTTGTCTCACCTCCGATTTTCCTACATTTTCAATTCTAAACATGGAGACTATAATATTGTCTGTTGAGAGGGGAACCATTATGTAATTTATCTCAAGTGATCTGATGGAAAGGAGCAGAAATAAAACCAAAATCCTTTTGACCGCAAATATGAAACAGATTTTCCCAAGGAGTGGAGGTGTAAATAATATAAAAACAAAAAGGCAAGAAGATGGACATTAATTGTGGTAAGTAGAAATTAATCCAGTTAGCAGCCACATTAATTGATTCAGATCATGCTCTGCAATGTACAAGAGAAAATGTTAAATAGTATATGTAAGACATTGGATTTCCCAAGGGGCATGGGAATATGTTGCTGGGTTAAACACGAGGTTTCTCACATGTTGACCTTGAAGCAAATTAAGTGGAAATTGGTGTTTCCATTTAGGTGTTTGGCATGCAAGTATTGTGTCTCTAACATGGCTATAAAATAGTTAAAATATGACTTTCCTTGTCATTTGCCAATTATTACACCGATTCTTTCTTTACTGGGAATTTATGGTCAGTCCCTCATAGTCTCTCTCTCTCTTCTTCTTCTATATTTATTTATTTTTTTAATTTCTAGGATTATGCCTAATTCATGTTTAGTATATAAGCAGTAGCATGCGTTCCAATGCTGGTTTTTGTGTTGAAATATTGAACATTAGCCTGGTATTTCTAATTTACATATTTACATCTTAAAGTGAGTGCAAATTGTTTATAAACCAAAATGCTCTAGAATCTTTTAGTTGATGGTCTTTCACTTTAATTTTTTGGGGTTTGATGTTCATTTTCAACACTATCTATGTATTATTGTGGATTTTTTTTTTTTTTGCTTCTCTTATTTTTATTCTTCTTTTCTTGGCCAATGATCTAGATGGTAAATGCTTTCATGACACATGACTAACAATTGTAAAAATATATTTATAATTGTTTCCTCTGTATTTGCCAAATTGATAAGTGTCAGTTAGCTTACATGGAGGAATATTTTTACTTCCATTCAAGGAGGGATGATTTTTATTCCTGATTGCATATGACTGGTCTTTTTAAGGAACAGTGATACGACGCTTGTTTCATTGTTATCCTCCTTTGATTCAACAATAAATATTTTAATGTTATGTATAGCAATTAAATGAGTGTAGTCAAAATGTAGAAGTTGATATGGGTGGGTGCTAAGGCAAGAAAAGGATAAAATAAAAATGAATCGTATATGATATGGCAGAAGTAGCACCTCTTGGTGATTGAATGAGAGAAAATCAAATCACATGATTTAACTCCATAAAAGGAAGACCATTAAATGCATTAGTGAAGAAGTGTGACGTAATCCATATTAAGGGAATTGTTGGTAGGAGGAGAAGGCTATTAACATAGGTTGAGAAAGATATGACTCTGCGTGAATTGGCTAATATTATGGTCTTACACAGAACAGAATAGTAAAACAAGTTCATATGAAATTACCTTAATAGTTGGGAAAAAATTAGTTTTGTTGAGTTGGTTCCCTCAAGTAGACTTAACGAGCCTTAGTTTCAGACTATTTGGGGTTATGTAACTTTTCTCCCATCATCTCTTTGTTAGGCACCAAAGGACCAAATGGCCTAGCGGTATCACCCCTTCCTTTCTAAAGGGAGGTCAGGGGTTCGAACCTCGGTGGAGGTAGGGTGTGTGCGTAATTGCTTTAACTTCCACAAAAAAAAAAAAAAAAAAAAAAAAAAAAAAAAAAAAAAAAAATCTCTTTGTTAGGCCATATTTGAATAAATTCAATGTGTATATATATATATTTTTATGACATTGGCTAGAGAATTTTCTGTTACTTGAGCGACATTCATGCAATAGTTTCCTTTTCTCTTTATTTTTTATTCTCTATGCGGTTGTTTCCATTATTTTCTCGCTTCAATTAATTCTTATATCTTTATTCTCTCTAATCTTGTGTGTGTGTGTGTGTGCGTGTGCGCGTGTGTTTCTTTTGAAAACAGAGGGCATTAGAGGAGAAGAAAACAGTTCGAGATGAGGCAAAGAATGCTGAAAAGGCAGCTATGCAAACTTTTCAGGAGAAGACAGCTACTGTTGAGGTTTATACCAAGGTATTCTGTTATAAACTATTCTTGTAACCATTTATGTGGCATGTCTCACTGAATTGTTAGAAAGAATTAGCCAATTATTATTATTTTCTATTTATTTATTTTATGTTTGCAGTTGATAACACATATCTTAGTGTAACTTTGCTTGTTCAAAAGGTGTTTGAATGCCTTAATTTTCATACAGTGAGAAGTTTTCTTTTGTTTGTTTTCTTGAGGATTGATGATTAAAGTTTAGCTTACTAATTTTTATATTTTTCTAACTTAGCATATGGTTTTCACCTGCAATTGCCATAGTCCCATCAATTCCCATTAACTCCCATAAATTTGTTCCTTTTCCTTAATTTAGTAAATTGACCAAGTTTAACTTAGGAAACTCAGTCCATTCTTATGTTAATTGAATTTTAGTTAGAGATTGTGTTTTGTTTAGATATATAACTTATCTGATTACGTGCAAGTAGCTTAGTAGAAAACTAGTTCCCCACCCCCCACCTCCTCACACACACAGATGCATGCACCACGTTAAAGAAAGAGCATATACATTATTTTGCGGTTAGTGTGGGATTTTATGAATCATGTTCGCAAAATAACCATATGATTTTATGATTAATGCTGTTTGGATATGTGATTTTGGGTGGTGTCGGGGTGGGGCAGGAAGTGAAAGTCAGTTCACTAACATCTTATGATGGTTTCAAGGTGAACTTATCAGTTGGTGTACGATTATAAATTTTTTGTTCAAAGTGTTACATTTGTAAAGTTGCATTATATAGTAATTCATTGAGGGTTGACTCATCATTCATCAAAATCAGTACTGCTCCCGGAGGAGAACAATAATACCTTGGGCATCATTTATTGAAACTGGCATAATTAGCATGTCTATCAAATGTTTCAAAAGATTCAAGTCATTCTTTAGTGACATGCCTCCTGAAGCAAAACAATGGCAATATTGAGTGTTGTTATGCTGTGAAGGCCCTTTGTTTTTTTTTTTTTTTTTTTTTAAATATATTTTTTTAATTTGTGTGTTGGTGTGTGTGATGGTATATATTCTAGAGCTTATGCTGCTTTTCAATCTACAAATTGACTTCTAATTAAAAAATAATAATAGAAATGACATTTCCTAAAATATAGTGGCTAAACAATGAAATGCATTCAGAAGCAATTGTATCAGTGATCACTTACTGCTGTATGGTTTATGGCGACTAAGTAGCGTAAGATTATTGGACACAAGAGAAATTAAATTTAAAGAATCTTGCTTGAATGGCATATTAATACGTATTTAGATATCATCCACAATTCTAGTTGAAAGGATAATTGATAATAGCCTTTTGCACTTCTCTTTCTCAGGCTTTTAAGAAAATGTCCAAGCAGTTTGCTCAGATGCAGGCTATACAAGAACAGGTTTGTTTATATCATGGCCAGATCTTGGTTTTTTGTGTTTGCATGAATTTGTTTGAAAGCTTTATATGGCATTTACTGTGTTGGGCGGAGAACCATGATGCAAAGTCTTTATTGTCATGATGCTCTTGTTGAATTGTTTAAATAAATTTGTCAACTATGTGATCTTTTACCCTTTTTCATGCAAGATCTTAAAAACATTTACTTAAATCAGTTACACCAACTTCCTTTTGTTCCATTATTAATCATTGGTGGACCCAGGCCCAAAGGCCTTATAATTCCCTCCTTTCCCAAACAGCTTTTTTTTCCCCCCAACTGGTGAGTTCTAAATGCTCAAAAACCCTAAAATTATGTCTTTTTTTCTTTTGATTTTTGTTAGGGCTGTCAATTCAGCTATCTTGTTGTCATATGCACATGTCAAGTTTGGGGCACTCGATTAAATGTTGGACAGAGCTACTCATTAAATATGCCAATGTCTTCAATTTTTAACACCATCTGCTCATTAAACTGGTTGCATTACATGAATAACGTAACCTGATTAATAAGGAAGTTGAGTTAGGGTTCACGCTAACACATTGACTGAATAACATAATGAATTAATATCATATTTAACTAAAGAAATTGGATTATTAATTACATGAGACTGGAACTATGAAACCTACCAAAAAAAGAAAGAAAAAAAGAGAGATTAGAACTATGAAATAAGACCTATGGGCAGACAAGATTGCACAGATTGAATGATAAAAGCCATTGATTATTGCTATCACCAATTAGGGTTTAATATATCAAATAATCCATAAGAATCCAACCATAGTGTAGAGAGAGAACGCCCCAAAATTGAGATCAAACTTATTTTATATTTATAGTGATGGAAAAATCATGCCTTTGAGGGTGAAGGCATAGAGTAGAGAGAGTGTAATCCTTGAAGTCTACACAGAGTCACAGAGAATATATAGTCTTGTTGTGGGAGAATCTGATCTAATTACACTTGAAAAGTTGAGACATGAGCTTGAGCCTTGGCAGAGTTTTGAGATTTATGAGTTGTGGTGGCTAGCGTTTACTGAGCTTCAGTACATTAGGGTTTCTCATTTGTCTTTTACAAAATAATCTTGAACACAAAAATTAGTTTACGAAAATGTCCTCAGTCAGAAGCGTTAAATCATTTTTTTTTTTTTTCTTTGTGGTAGTCACACTGCTCATTATTGAACATTTCAAAAGGGTTGTGGTCTGAAACCCTAACATGATCAGTTTATTATTAGTGTTAATATTGTTGGAACATTCATGATTTGAAGCTACACAAGGTTGACGCAGAACCTTTAACCCCTTTTTAGGTTTGAGTTGTGTTCGTGGGTTGTGTTGGTGCTTACCATCTCTAATTTTTGGCTATCAAAAAGTTTAAAATTTAAGAATTACTAGATATATTTTGAAGGTTGTTGACTAAAATGAAACTGTGAACAATTCTAGTTTTATATTTTCAAAATACAAAAGTATGTAATATTTTGTCTCTTGTTTTAAAGAATAGAACTTTCTGAATTATTTTAATATTTATATTATAAATGTTTGGAGATCCCTTAGTTTGGTTTGATGTCTGCTAAGGTTTTCCCTTTTGTCCCGGAAATACGGGTAGTCTAATTGCATTAGATGTATTGGTGATATTGGCACTTCTAACAGGTAAATTCTGTCAAGTCAATTGAAAAAGATGTTAAGGTTCTGAAGGTTAAGCTGAGTGATGAAGCAGTGTTAGATAAGTCGCTTGAGGTGAAACTGGTTGAATGGCAAAGGAAAGGTAACTTTTTATTCTATGTACATCTAGTTATTGTCACTGTAATTAAATTAGTTTTTTAAGTAGGAAAAGTTTTCTTCTCCAGTGGATCAGTTGGATGAACTAAGAAAGCAGGTGGGAAAAGAAAGAGATCTCAAGTGCGAGGAGGCTACAAAAGAATTGAATAATGTGAAGTCTGAAGTGGAGTTTAAGAGGCATGACATGGAATCAGAGAAAATGAAGGTTGAAGCTGCTGTTGCAGAGGTAATGTTGTATATTTCAACTCTTCAGCAGAACCGAGTTATTTTGTTCTGAAGTAGTACAGTGTATGAGTGTTCTTGTTTCTTAAACATGCCAGGCAGATGCTATAACTGCGAAGATTAATGTGGTAAAAGAATCAGGAGCAGCTAAATGTCAAGAACTAGAACGTAAATGCGAGGAGATTGCAAGAGAGGTGCACTTCTCTCTTTATGTTTATCTATTGTTCATTCCTGTATATGCTTATCTGTTAAGGAGTTGAAACTTGGTTCGATGCTTGACTCAACCAGCATTAAATTCTAGAGACTGATGGTCAGAGTTCCTAAATCATCTATAAAAAGCTGCATTTTCTTTTTCATTTGTATAAGTGGGAAATCTACAAGCTTTTAACATTTATGTCAAAAATGCAAGCATCTTATATAACAATGTTTCCCATAGGGGCAAATGGGCGTGTGACTGTAAGAATAGTTTCTTGCCAATATATATATATATATATTCATAACATCGTTCTGATCTTTGAATGGACCTGTTTTTCACTGTTTGGTCAGGACTGGGATTTATGCAAAGCCAAGCTATGAACCTATTGTGCACAAATTTTTTGCTTTGTGCTGAATCACTTGAGAAACATTTACTATGTTTTTAATCATTGATGTTTGTTTCCTTCATTGATGGCGATTTCGGAACTGAGAATTTTTTATTCTATTTCTGACTGTTGTAGTTTCATCGCTACTCGAGCTCTGTTGGGAATTTGGTGTCAGGGATTTGAAATGGAGCCAGGACTCGGTCGTGGTAGGAGCTGACTTACCTAAACTTCAGTTAGTGTGTTAATGGTTAACTGCACAAACTATCCTGCTTGTTGATTGCTTTCTTGTACCCCCGTGTTCTTACAGTATGATGGAAGTCACTGATTAGCCCACTCGTGCCACTGTGTGGAGCCGGAGCAGCTAAGCAAGGTCAACAATGGCGGATATGGCCTTTTGTAAGCAAGCTCGGCGGAGTTTTGGCTGGTTCAGTGGGTACCACATGATTGAGATCTTGTGTTAAGCATGTCCTAATATCCCAACATACACTTAACAGGGTGTCAAAAATTCCTTTGATTTACATGAATGTATTTAGAAAAATTTATTAGGCAGGACTTTTGTAGAGCTATTATTTGTTGTCTTACTGTAACTCTCCTAAATTCCACGTGGCATTGTAGAGCTATTATTTGTTGTCTTACTGTAACTCTCCTAAATTCCACGTGGCAAAGTTATTAAAAGCTCGTGTAGAAAGTACATTAACAATTCTTCAATGACATATAGTAAGTAAATGATGTTAGAATTAATTCTCCAAAAACCCATGATAAATAAAACATTAACCATGATGAGGAAAACTTAGTAACGAAACATACCATACCATACCATAATGATTAGGGTGCACACGGCTTCAGTTCTACGGTTCTTTGTGTACCCCTAGTAATGTCAATAAATGAACAGAGAGGATCTCAAATACCTTTATTGAGGTTAAGAGTCTTTGAACACTGATGATTGGTTTCGCAAATTAGATAAGCAAAAGTGAGAACATAAAATCTTTGCATGGTTTATCGTATCTTGGCAACGGGGTGATTGGAGCTTTAGGCGATTAATTTAAGAGTTCCTTTGGGATTGTATTTTTATTATGAAAAATTATGTTTAGATATACTCCTTTGTCTTAAATTAAACGTTGCCTTTGAGAATTGTGACTTACATTGTGTATTTAAATTATGAGCAGTGATAGGGGAACTAAAAGGTATCCCCCGAATTAATCACCACGTGGTCTAGCCACGTTAGATTCTCACCCCTTTTGCGTGAGGAAGCAAAAGAGTCCACCAGATGCAGGTAAAAAAAAAAAGAAAAAAAAGAAAAGAAAAAACTTAGAAAAAAAATTCATAATTGATATATTTTAGAATTTACACTGACTAGACATATCAAATTAAATCACTGTACCAATTGAATTGCTGCTGAAGAAGAAAACTTATTCAAAACCCTAGATAGAGAGAGAGCCAATCCCGAATCAAATAGTGATGTTGTGAATCCTTCTAAATTTTTGTACGTGATTTGAATACAAAATGATTATGTAATTCTTAAAATCAGATCATTGAGTAACACCTAAATCTATTAAAAAATTTATAGAAAAAATTCTTTGAATATTTATGATCTTTTACCAACATACATGTAATTGTGTGTGTATATATATATATTTCTATTTGTGTATATAAATATATATTTTTTTAAATTTATTTTAAGAGTGAGCTAAGCACGTGATGACTCTTTTATTCTTCACGCGCAAGAAATTTTAGATAATTTGATGTAATTAAGTCACGTTAAATTCTTTTTTCAGAATTACCCTTCCCCCCTTATCATTTTCTTCAAATTATTATGCATGTTAGTTTATCGTGGCTTCGGAGTGCATACCCGGAAAAAACATAAAAAATAATGAACATGACAAAAAGTCAACCTCTCTCTTGAAAAGAAGTCAACCAATGACATTTTAGAAATCTTTGATTATTACTAGGTTTGTACTGAGTTGTAGCTGTCCAGCTACCCCAAATTAAATATTTGTTTCTCATTGTCAACGTGTAAATTAATACTGCCAGTTCACTGGGTTCACACCTCACGGCATCAACTTGACTGTGAACAAATTTGACTTCAATCATATTTAACCTCATGGATCCAGTATGTGTTGTTGTACATTGGAATTTTTTAAAAAAAAACTTTCGTGTCTGCCAGTGTTAAAGTTGGCCACATGGCCGTATGGATTTAAGATATAACATGTTCACATTGTGCAAATTGCAATTTTATATTTGATTACATACTTTTATATATATATATATTTTCCAGAAATTGCATACTTATAAAATTAAATCATGCTACACAGAATGAATCTAACGGCGGACATCAATTATTGTTTCAATTGCTTGTGGGGGTATTCTGCAATCGCCCCCCCTTTTATTTATTTTTTATTTATTTTTTTTTTATTTTTATTTTTATTTTTTTTGTGAATGTGTTAGAGAGAAAAATGTTTACATAATCCATAGGACGTCTAAGCTTGATTTCACATGTCACTTCGAATTATGATTGTTAGTATTATTATTATTAAAGGTAACACCAAATTATTTCTCCACAAATAGTGTATCAAATGCCCCAGAAATGGTCTCATTATAATTCGAAAATTTGTTTGACTGTAAATTGTTTTCTATAAAATTATCCAACAATATGCGTAAGCCATAAACAGACTAGACAAGCGTGAACCACTTGCCGAATTAAAAGTGTACGTGAACCCCTTAATTGTTATCTAAAGCACTCTACGACGACCTAATCCAAGTATTGGTGATATATTATTATTAAATTCTTCCGACAATTAATTGAAACATAATTTTTTCCTCCCTTTTCCGTTTTCTTCAATGCGAGCAGGCAAGTTGCTCTTCGTGCGTAATACCATGAAGTAATCCACACATACGTAATACATAGATAAACAAAGACTTCGGCTTCAAGAGCACATGCTCATTGAGAGTCTCTCGCATATATATATATATATATATATATATATATATATATAATAGTAGTTGCTTTGCACAAGTTTATATGAACAATGTGTGTAATAAACAATGCTATGAAGTTGTTAAGGAATAACAATGATAGTTGAGATGGCACTCGATCCCTCTCTTCTTCGCCATAAGGCCCATGACCATATATATATAAATATTAATAACACTAGGTGTGTGTGTGTGTATATGTATATTTGTGTGATATAATTTTTGTAACTTGTTAATTTTATTGTCAAAACAAGTCCGATGGAATTATAATTTTCAAGTTACCAAATCGAGATTGGGTACGGAATTAGAAAGTTGTTCAAGTTTGATAAACTATGATCTACGAAAAAGGTATGAACAACATTTTATGAAGTTGTTTCTTACTTAGGATATTATATATACATGATATGTTTCCTCAAAGTTTCCAAAATAGAATTTTTTCAAATTGATACTCTTTCCCTTCAATTCTGTCATGTGGGAACCGGTATTGACTTTGGCTACCGGTTCAGGATCTTTTGAGTCAAATGAAACTTTCTGTCCTTAATTTGGGAACCGGTTCCAAAATTGGCTACCGGTTCCACATGCTGATACAGTTTAAGTAATAGTTCCATTTTCTGCCTAAACTTCCTATTGGATATAGATTTCCTTCTAAAAGTCTTATGCGTGAAATTTACCTTTTCCTATGCATATCTAGGTCTTTGAAATTCTATATAAACCTTGATTTTCATTTAGGTTGATATGACTTTTGCATTACATCTTCTGATTCTTAAAAAGCCTATCTGAGAGATATTTTGCAGAAAATAAAATCTGATTTTTTTGTTTTTATTTATTGAACACTCACATAAACACGAGTGATTTTAGAGTATTTGTTCAAATTTTGATCGTGTTTAGAGTTTATTGAATATTGTACCTACAACGATCAGAGAAGCAGGTCTATTTATTCTACATCAAATTCAGATCTTGAAGAACAGAGGTGAAGCGATCACACTTTGAAATGGTCAAACCATTCTAGGAGTATTGTTCGATCTATCAGCAATCCTTCTACAGAGATCAAGAGTAAGCCTGAAGTCAAGAGCTGTTAGACGGGACATCACAAAGGCAGAGGATTGTTAGCAATTGGTGTTTGGTAGAATGATAGGATGTGAGCTTGAGTCAAAGTTCATTGTACTTTGTTTCAAACATAGTGGATCAATTTACTTTGGACTGTAAGCAAATTCAACGATATTTAAAATACATGGTTCTAATACATAAATATTGTTTAGAAACATACCTGCCATTTTTAGCTGTTTGTGTTTGAGAACAACTATTATAGAAACACTCTGATACACAGAAACACTTCACAACACAGAAACACTCTTCAACCCTCTACCTTTATCTGTGAAACTGAACGATGGTTTCAGGCCTTTCTTTCACGTATATATATAGAGGGTTGGGACCGTTTCTAAGCATTGCCAAGAGGAGACATGTTGGTTCCATCAACGAACACATCCCTCTATAATTAGATAACTGTTATAAAATAAACAGTATTCAAAAGATACAACGTTACATCTCCAATATGGATAATTATAAAACAATTTAAATAAAAATGTAAGATTAATTATTATAATAAGACCACCGTATTCTTACATTCTCCCAGTTGGTCTTATAATCATAATTAATCTTTATTATTTTTATTATTATTTTTTTTTATAAAAAATATTTTGAAATAATGTTGATGTGCACACTTTAAATAAATTATCTATATTTAGAGAATCATTGTACCAAATAACTTTCATGAAGTCCTTACAAGTATATTAATATTGAATCAAGGATGTCATTATATTATTTAATAATATAGGATATCAATGGTCACAAACATTAATACACTCAACTTCAAGATTATACATAAACATCGCATATGCTAAACAATAAAATATTATGCCATGCTTCGGTCCTACTGTGTCTTAATAAAGACACACCATGTCTCATAAATGACACTTATAATTTTCCATCGTGCACCAATATGAAAAACTAAATAAATGAGGATAATATAATATAAGAAAATGTGATCACAAATACAAATGTGTCTACAACTGAGTCAAAAATAACCACCCACTAACTAAGTAAATCGAAGCTATCAATAATACCCATATGAGCAACATGCTCACTGTATAGCTTAGGCGGCAACCCTTTAGTCATGGGATCAGCAATCATTTGTTGTGTACTAATGTGCTCAATAGACACAAGCTGGTTCTGAATCCTCTCTTTTACAACAAGGTATTTAATATCTATATGTCTAGATTTTCCTGAATTTTTGTTGTTCGTTGAATACACAACTGTAGCGGAATTGTCACAGAAAATCATCAATGGTTTAGAAATAGAATCTACAACCATAAGTCTTAAGATGAAGTTCCGTAACCATAATGCATGACAAGTGGCCTCATAACATGCAATAAACTCTGCCTCTATGGTGGATGAAGTTGTTAATGTTTGTTTAATACTTTTCTGTGAAATTGCTCCTCCAGCCATCATGAAGATAAATCCTGAAGTGGATTTCATACTATCCTGACAACCAGCAAAGTCAGAGTCTGTATAACCCACCACTTCAAGCCTGTCGATCCTTCTATATATGAGCAAATGGTTTTTTTGTCTTCTGCAGGTACCTCATTACTTTCTTTGCCGCTCTCCAATGATCAATGTCAGGATCACTTTGGTATCTGTCTAGCATACCAACAGCAAATGCTATATTTGGCCGTGTGCAAACCTGAGCATACATCAAACTCCCAACTGTAGATGCATAGGGAATGTTTTTCATTTGCTCCCACTCTAGGTCATTTCTCGGACACTGAAATTTACTAAATTTATCACCCTTTACTATAGGAGCAATTCCACCTTCACAGTGTTGCATATCAAATCTTTTAAGAACCTTTTCTATATAGGCTCTTTGTGACAATCCAAGAATCCCACGAGATCTATCTCGATGAATCTCAATGCCAATGACAAATGAGGCTTCACCAAGATATTTCATTTCAAAACTTTGAGATAAAAAATGTTTAGTCTCGTGTAACAAGCCAATGTCACTACTAGCAAGTAAGATATCATCAACATACAACACTAGAAAAATGAATTTACTCCCACTGACTTTCATATAAATGCATTCATCAATAATATTTTCTTTAAACCCATATGAAGTAATTATCTCATCAAATTTTATGTACCATTGTCTTGATGCTTGTTTTAACCCATAAATAGATTTCCTTAACTTGCACACTATATATTCTTTGCCCTCAATTTCATAACCCTCGGGTTGATCCATATAAACTTCTTCGAGCAAGTCACCATTTAGGAATGCAGTTTTTACATCCATTTGATGTAACTCCAAATCAAAATGAGCTACTAATGCCATTATAATTCTAAAAGAGTATTTCTTTGAAACAGGAGAAAAAGTTTCTTTATAGTCGATGCCCTTTTGTTGAGTAAAACCCTTAGCAACAAGTCGGGCTTTATATCTTTCAACTTTACCTTTTGAGTCTCATTTAGTTTTAAATACCCATTTACAGCCAATGGGTCTGACTCCCTCTGGTAAGTCAACTAGATCCCAAACTTTATTATTATTCATAGACTCTAACTCATCTTTTATTGCATCTGACCATTGTTGAGCAAAAATGCTATTTTTGGCTTCTGAAAATGATAGTGGATCATCTTCTTTACCAATGTTGAACTCAATCTCTTGTAGATAAACTTCATAGTCATCTGGAATAGCACTTTTTCTTTCTCTCCTTGATTTTCGTAATGGCATGTCAACTATTGGTTCATTTGAGACTTCTTCTATGTGAGGTGTTTGTTCTTCAGGCTCTTGATGACTTAAATCACCATCTTGCATAGTAGCGAGTGGGACAACTATGTCATCCCGAGGAACTAAATTTATACTTTGATTTTCCTCAAATATCATGTGCCTGGGCTCTATACTCCCACTGGTATAACCATCCTCAATGAACCTAGCATTTAGGGTCTCAATAAGTTTGGTACTATGTGATGGACAATAAAACCTATAACCTTTTGACCTTTCTGGATATCCTACAAAATAACAACTGACTGTTCTGGGATCAAGTTTCCTTTCATGTGAGTTGTATAATTTAGCCTCTGCTGCACATCCCCAGATACGCAAGTGATTTAAACTGGGTTTTCTTCCTATCCATAACTCAAAAGGAGTCTTTGAGACTGCCTTAGACGACACTCGATTTAGGATATATGCAGCAGTCCTAAGAGCTTCACCCCACAAAAAATCTAGTAAAGATGAATTACTCATCATAGTTCGCACCATATCCATAAGAGTGCGATTCCTTTGTTCAGCTACACCATTTTGCTCAAGGGTACCCGGCATGGTGTACTGCGCAACTATACCACACTCTTGTAGATACTTAGCAAATAGCCCTGGATTGCGACCTGTATGATCGTGCCTTCCATAGTATTCACCACCACGATTAGATCGTACTACTTTAATTTTCTTATCAAGCTGATGCTCGACTTCTGTCTTATAAATTTTAAAAATATCCAGTGCCTCAGATTTCTCACCAATTAAGTATACATAACCATAACGAGAATAATCATCAATAAATATAATAAAGTATTTCTTCCCGTTTAGTGTAGCAGGAATGAAAGGACCACATATATCTGTGTGTATAAGTTCTAAGAGGCCATTACTTCTAGTAGCACCCTTATGTCTAGACTTGGTTAACTTTCCTTTAGCATAATTAATACATATGCCATAGTCAGAAAAATCTAATGTGTTCAGAACACCTTCTTTAACCAATCTTTCTAATATCTCTCTAGAGATATGACCTAAACGCCTATGCCATAACATAGAAGAAGAATCATTGGTGAGACCACGTTTGGTACTCACATTAAAAGATAAAAGAGAATGTGAAAAAATTGGGTCAAGATTTAGAAGATAAAGACTATCAACTAATGAACCAGAACCAATAAATTTGGAATCATAAAAGATATTGATATTACGATTACTAAAACGGAATTCATAGTTCAATATATCAAGTTTAGGTATAGAAATCAAATTTCTGGACATTGAAGGAACATACAAAACATCTTCTAACTCTAATACAAAACCACTACTAAGGACAAGACGAACAACTCCAAAGCTTTAACTTGTGCTTCTACCCCATTACCCATGGTTAGTGTCCTTTGGTTGGGATTGATTTTTCGACTCCTTATGAATCCCTGCAAGGAATTAGAAATATGAATAGTAGCCTTGGAATCAATCCACCAAGTATTTGGCGGAACAATGGCTAAATTATATTCTGAACACACTAGACAATGGGTGCTACCTTTCTTTGCTAACCAGTTTTTGTAACTAAAGCATTCCTTTTTGACATGGCCTCGTTTGTGACACCAGAAACATTGAACTTTCTTTTTCCCCACTTTATGTGCCTGACTGGGTCCAACATCATTAACCTTTATACCTCTTTTCCAAGTTTTCTTATTATTTTTCTTGACTATTTTCCGATCCACAATGTGTGCCATATTGGGCTTATTGTATCGGGTTCGCTCTTCCTCTTGTGCACACATACTAATTAATTCTTTTAATTCCACTTATCTTTCTCCGCATTATAAGTAGTTTTAAAAATATCGAATTGCGCAGGAAGAGAAGTCATAATAAAGTGGATTAGAAATGAGTCACTAACTTCCATATCCAGATTTTTCAATTGGCATGCAATATCAGTCATTTTCATGATATGCTCACGCACACCACTAAGACCATCATATTTTGCGGTTACTAATTGGGTCATAAGAGTGCTAGCCAGTGACTTAGTTGAAATAGTAAAATGTTCTTCTAGAGCCTTAAGGTAATCCTTAGCCAATGGTTTATCAGGAATGGCACCCTTAATATATTTAGGAATATTATTCTTAATATACATTAGACTAAGTCTATTAGACCTGTCCCATTTATCCCATTCCTTTTTCACCTCTGCACCACTAGTGTCTGTAGGCTTAGGTGGTTCATCTGACCTAATGGCTAGGTCTAAATCCCCAAATCCCAAATTAAAAATTATTTCATCTTTCCAGTCTGAGAAATTAGACCCAGTCAGGGCTTTCACACATGGTAATGAACCAACTGTTATGGAATAAAAATAAAAACATCAAAAGAATTAAGGCCATAATTGTATAGTTTAATTGATGAGAAAAACAATCAAACTTTTCAGAATCAATAAGTAATGCCTAAAAATAATTGATCCCGAATAGGATCAACTTCACATTTAACAATATTTCCTTTGGGCCAATATTATTAAATGTTAGTCTCCCACTAGTGAAACAAATTTCACCTTTGAGACTAATTAATCATAGATAATACAATATCAAAAATAAATTCCTTTGGGAATAGTATATTATCTATTATATATTTTACATTAATTATCTCAATCCGTTTAATTAGACAAATCTCAATAATCCACCTTTGGGTTTGATTATTGCTCGTCTCTACTAAACGCAATTCAAATCCTTCAACTTTAGCAAAAACATAATTTTACCACTAGCCTCAAATACTATTGAAATTATCATGAGTGTGTCACTTTGGTGACTAAACACCCAATCTAATTTCATTAACATTTGTGCTTAAGATTTAAAATGATTCAATTTTCCCAAATGAATCTAATATATATATACACAATATGCATCAATATAAACATGAGGCAATATGCATAATAATGTATATGTTGCCAATTTCAATACATTTATAAAATAATATCCAATTTAATTAATCCATTATAATAACTTTAATTGGCAAAGGATAACAAAAGTAAAAGAAATATCATTTTTTTTTTTAAGCCTTTTACATCACTGTTGTATAGACATACACATGACCCATATATATATACCCATATATATATATATATATATGTATATATAACAACCTTTAGATCAACAATTATAAAACCACTCATTATTTTCCGTCATTACTTTACTGTACGATACTTGGGTTAAACAATATATATCTATATCTAATCATTAATTTGACATATGGACATATATTTAAATAGTAAAATTCATACTGTTTAAAAGAATTATTATATATCAAATACCAAACAATGAATTTAAGATAAAGTTGACAAATATATATTTAGTATATTCTATACACATATCAATATTCTGTCTATTTTATTCATATGCATGAAATAGAGTAATAGAGTGATAGAATTCAAAACCAATAATATATATGTTTATATATATATATATATAAACATGAGATGCACAGTAATATAAAATTATTTCATCCACAATATATATCAGTGTCCCTTTTTATCTCAAACACATATATAGCATACTGTACTAATAATATATACAACCAAGAAATTTCATACGCAATATCAAAAATAAATTTATGCATTAGAGTCCATGTGAGGCTCTGATACCACATGTAAGCAAATTCAACGATATTTAAAATACATGGTTCTAATACATAAATATTGTTTAGAAACATACCTGCCATTTTTAGCCGTTTGTGTTTGAGAATAACTATTATAGAAACACTCTGATACACAGAAACACTTCACAACATAGAAACACTCTTCAACCCTCTACTTTTATCTGTGAAACTGAACGATGGTTTCAGGCCTTTCTTTCACGTATATATATAGAGGGTTGGGACAGTTTCTAAGCATTGCCAAGAGGAGACAAGTTGGTTCCATCAACCAACACATCCCTCTATAATTAGATAACTGTTATAAAATAAACAGTATTCAAAAGATACAACGTTACATCTCCAATATGGATAATTATAAAACAATTTAAATAAAAAGGTAAGATTAATTTTTATAATAAGACCACCGTATTCTTACATGGACTGCACAGTATACGAGATTTTCCTACAACAATTGGTCTATTATACCAATTGGAGTTTCCTTGCTAAAAATTTCGGTGTCATCTCTCAAACTCTATTTGCTTTACTTTATTTTTATTTTGCATGTGATTAATTGATTAATTGCTAAATTAAGTAAAACTGATTAAAATAGAAAGACATATATTTTAATTTTTTATATGCGTTGAAAGAGGGTAGATCTAATCAATGTGTTCCTTTATTTGAAGGAAACAATTATAATTTTTGGAAATTAAAAATGAGAGCTTATTTGCAAAATTTAGGAGGTAAATTTTGGGCTATTGTTGAGACAGGTTATACACCTCCTACTGAGGAAAAGACTGTGGATGGTAAAGTTGTTCAGGTTTTAAAAGATACTTTTTCCTTCAGTACAATTGAATATGAGCATAATGATGCTAATGGAAAAGCTTTTATGCAATTATAAATTATGTTGTTCTATCTGAATATGCTATAATTTCTGATTGTAAAACTGTTAAATATGCTTGGGATATTTTGTAGGTTACTCATGAAGGAACTTCAAAAGTGAAGATGTCCAAAATTCAAAATGCTTTCTAATAAGTTTAGGAACATTGTGATGAAAGAAGAAGAATCCTTTTATGATTTTTATTCTAATCTTCTTGAAATTATTTGTGAACTTCGTCACTTAGGCAAAAGAGTTAGTGATAAAAAAATTTGTGAGAAAATATTAAGGTCTTTACCTAAAAAATTTCAAATAAGGGTATAAACTATTGTCCAGTGCTAAAGTAGATGAAGTTGTAGGTTCATTGAAAAATTTTGAGATGCAGAATTTTGATCAAAATAAAAAATAAAAGAATCTAGCTTTAATTAAAGTCAACTCAGGTTCATAATTCCGTTGATGAAAATTCTAATGAAGATGTGGCCTTTATAACTAGGAAATTTAATCAGTTTTTGCAAAGATAATAGAGGAGAATGAATGGCAATGGGGCCATTATGTTTGTAAACTTAACTGAGGACATAAATAAAAAAAATAGTGAGGTGGTGGTCGCAAGAGAGGGGGATTTGTACGTCGAGAAGGGATAAAGGTAAAAGAGCATTTACGGAATAAATTTGAAATGGTTACTTGTCAGTAATTAAGTTCCAAGTTTGATGATCAGTATTCTTATTTTCTCTATTTTACGATCACTTTTAAACAATTTTATTTAGGCTTGGTCACAAAAATCTAATTTTTTCCTTTTTAATTTTATTTTCCTTTTACATATTTAAAATTTAAAATTGATGATCATTTTATCATCGTGTCACATCAATAATGAGATGGGGTTACTTGGGAAAATATTGTTCACAAGTTTATATGAAACAAATAGGCTCTCATTTTCTTTTAATTGTTTTATTTATTTATTTATTTTGGCTATGTAAATTATTTTAGGTAGTTTCATTGTTACATAAAACTAAAAAGAGAAAAAAGAAATAAAAAGTTACCCCACATATATATATATATTTTGGGTCAAAGCATACAAAATTCTAAATTACTTTACACCATCCAATAATTTCAATTTTTAACTAATGACTTCATCAAATGGTTTTTTAATGGCAAAATATTCCATTTTATGCAGGAAATAGAAAATTTTTCAAGAAATTACAAAGTGTACTGAGTTCTTAACATAGCTATACCCAGAAGATATTTAGTGAGACACATAAGGAGTTAATCAAAGAATGAGAGAAATGGATGAAAGATATCGCTAACTCATGCACAATTATAGCAGCTCTTATTGTCACTATGGTCTTTGCAGCTGCCATCACAGTACTCGGTGGAAACAATGGCGATAATGGCCATCCAATTTTCTCGAGCAATAAAGCTCTTGTAACCTTTGGTGTGTCAGACGCTCTTGCTCTTTCCTTGTCCAGTTCTTCTAGTATTGATGTTCTTATCTACACTTGCATCGCTCTATGCAGAAGTGGATTTTTTCAACATCTTGCTAAGGAGATTAGTTTTTGGTTTGATAACCCTTTTCATCTCCATAATATACATGATGATAGCCTTTGGTGCCACACTCTATCTTGTGTTTGGAGATAAGAAAATATGGATTCTTGCTCCTATTACTATACTTTCCACTATACATGGGACATTATGCATATGCTAAATGCAATCATGATTTCTACGAAAGTGAATTTTATGTTTTTATTTTAATTTAATTTAATTTAATTTAATTTTTGTTTAGTTTCGTATTGCTAAGGGTCTAGCAATATGTAAGTTTGGGGTGTGATAAGCGATGAATATTGCAAAAACGTGCATATGTTAATGCCTTAATGGTACCTTTATTCGGTTTTTATGTTTATTTTTGTTTATTTATTTTTCATAGGTTCTTACCTAAAGAGACGGTTAATTCCATATATTTAGAGCTTATTGCGATGTTCCCAGTGCTTAAGGAGATGTCCGGGACCTTCCGGATCAATTCGGGACTCAACCGAAAAGAAAAATTATGGACCCATTTTAGTATTTTGGGCATAATATTTTACTCGAAACTTGAAATTAGGCAAACTTAACATCTCTAGAAAGAAGACTCGAATTTTGTTGTTTTTAAGTCTAATAACAATTTCGAGATTCGTACTCCAAAGAGGTCAAAATTATAACTTTGGAAATATTTGCTGAAAAAAACTAATTGTTGAAAATAGGGCTCGTCCCCATTCTAAAAAATTGGCTAAGTATTTGGAAAAAGACGCTTCGAAAAATTTCGGTGAAAATTTGGCTAAGTATGGGATTTAGGGTTCGAGCGCTAATGACATGGCTCGAGCGCTATTTTGTTTGGAGTTAAAAATAAATACGGGAATGATGCAAAATTACCCCTCTTTATCCCTATATGGGCCCAATTGTCCCCAAAAGCTGTAAATCTCATCCAAGGGGGGAATATGACTCATTCTCCATTATAAAAGAAGATGGGAAGACACATTGAAGATCTCTCTTTTCTCTTTCTTGGTTCTCCTATCTTGCGGCTGCTTTTAAGGTTTTGAAGATTGAAGATTCCAATTGGCGGTCCATGGAGATGGCTTTTACACCAACAATGATGATATCCTTCCTCTCCATGAGTAGCTAAAGCATTCCTTTGGGAATTGATGTAACCTTAGTCCGAGTAGCATAGTTTGATTGTTCTTAACTTAAGTAATTTTTATATGTATATTGATTGTATGATTTTGAGAAATTAACTTAGTATTCCTAAGCAATTGGGTTTTAATGAAAATAATTGGTTTTTGATAAAATTGATATCTTGTCTTATAATTAATTTTACTTTAATCAGACTCAAACTATTTTTATCGTGAGAGATTGACGGCTAAGGGTTTCTCTTAAATATTTAAGTAGTGATCATGCAATGGTAATTAATCGAATATGTATGAACGAATGTTTTGATAATTCATGCATAGGGAAGATGAATTGTATTGCACCCTAGATTAGAGTAGTTAGGTAGACAATTCGTGCGAACTAAAGATGATTTATGGCTTTGTATTTATTCATATATGTTTTCTTCATTGAATTAAAGTGTGCTTGTAGCCATTTGATTCCCGAATATACATAAGTTTGAATTTCTCCATAACTGAAATAATTGACCATGTTATGAGGCTAGCGGTGAAGTCAATCCCTAAGTACTTCTCACTTTGATTTAAACACTTGATATTTTAGTTTATTTTTTGTTTTATTAGAATTTAGAAATAGAAAACAACAAAATCATATTTCTCTTGAATTAGATTAGGAATAATTTTATACTTAACAATCCACCAAAATCTTTGAAGTTTGACACCTTCAATATAGCCCTATCTTACAAATAGTCGTTCTCTTACGAGTGATTTATGTTGAATATTATAGCTCAATTTGCCAACTCATTTGGTATTACATTATTCCTTACATCAGCACCTTGCCAGCCAAGGAGTGTGATAAACAACATGCATGGTTGCCAAGTTGAAGCAGCCTCAGTACTTGATCAACAAGTGTTGTTTGTTAACCCATTTTGGCTATAAATAGCCTATACTCTCCATGGCGTTTCATCATCCGAAAATCATCCACAATTGAGTGTGATTTGCTCAATATTAGTAAAGAAAAGTGTGTGAGAGTTTGGGTGTAATAGGGTTTTGAGTGTAAGCCACTTAGCCTTGTATCTCTTTATTTCCATAGTGAAATATTATTTTGTCTTCTTTTCGTGGACTTAGGCATAACCGAATCACGTAAATTTTTGTCTCGTTTGTGTGTGTGCTATTTTATTTTCTTGTCATTTATTTTTTCTTTTGTTCTCATAAACTCTTATTCGATTCTTATTTTATAACAAACTGGTATCAGAGCTCAGTTTGTGTATTGTGTACAGATACTATTCACACTGTTTACACTATTCGGGTACTATTCACAAATACGATACTATTCATCGAGAAATATTTTTGGTAGATACAGGCCCTGCTGACTCTGAGAGGTCTAAAGAAGGTGTTATTCGGGAAGGACAAGTTGCTAGAAACTATATCCAATGAAGACAAGAATGAGGTCGATGAAAAGGCGAGAAGTGCAATTCTCTTAAATCTAGCCGATGAGGTGCTGCGTGAAGTTATTGATGAAGACACGGAGGCAAAGTTGTGGTTGAAATTGGAGAGTCTGTATATGACGAAGTCTTTCACCAACA